TTTTTTTTTTTTTTTTTCTTTTTGTCTTATACATAGTTTGATTTAATTTTTCAGCATGCGATATAATACCTAATAATTTCATTGTTATTTTTAGTACTATTTAATTTATTTTGCAAGGAAAATATAATAAGTATATATATTACGATTACCACATCATATAATTAATTAATAGCTAATACTAATTAAAACAAGCGGCGGAGGGTTGTCTGGATTGAAGAGCAAGCATTTTGGTGGCGGTGTCGAGGTGGTTGTTGGTGGCGGCGGTGGTGGTGACACGCTGGCAATGAGGGCACATTGTGAGGGTGGAAGGTGGCGGCGGGAGGTGGCGGCAGTCGGGGTGGTGGCCGGCTTTCAACGACCTGAGCTCCTCCACCTCAATCTGTAGCTTCTTGTTTTGTTCTGTTAGTGAAACAAACCACCTTTTCAAGTACTCACACTCCATTTCTGTTTGCTTCAGCTTGCTCCTACATATTTATTAATATTATATTATATTATATTATGTATAATTGGAATTAAATTAATCTACTTTAATTGTTAGGGGACATCATTAAGTACTATATATATGTATATATATTATCTGCCATGCAAAATTATTGATCACTTGACAAATAATATATAACTTGGAAAATAATATACTAAATGTAATTATTATTAGTCCAAACAACAGACTGAACTTGATAAAAAAATATAAAAAATAAATAAATAAATTTGAATTTACCAATATGTCTGGGAATAGAGCTATTATTCAGGGTTTACCTAATAAAATATTCTTTAATTATTCCATTGATTAGTCTTTGATTAACAATTTGGTCATAACTTCAAGTACTCATAACCCTAATTAAGTTGCCAAGAGAATTAAATTAAATTAAATTAAATTAAATAGATGAATAATTAAAATACCTTGCCCTACGGTTTTGAAACCACACCTCCACTTGCCTCGCCTTCAGATGTAATTTCTGTGCTAATATCTCCTTCTGTTTCTGCATCTTACAATTAAATTTAATATTAATAACCACTAATTATTTCTTTTTGTAAGGATTATATGATTAGTGTTGTTTATATTAATGAATGTGGTCGTACGTACAGGGTTTAAGGTGTGGTTTTGTTGTCTGAAACTTTCTTCAAGAAGACGAGACTGCTCTTTCGTTAGTCGAAGCTTCTTTCTCGGGGCCGGGCCCTTGTTCGGGCTTTCGTCTTCTTCTTCTTCTTCCATGCATTCTTCTTCTCTTTCTGATGAGGGTACTAGATTTACGTCCACTACTTTCATTCTACCTCCACCACTTTCCCCTACACATATTTATTTTAATAAAAAAAAATTAAAATATAAAACAAATATTGTAATAACTACTAATATACAACCTTTGATAATTTTTGCATAAATTCAAAAAAATAAATCACTATATACCCGAAGAGGGAAGAGAAGATGGAGAAGAAGAAAATCCCGGCATGGCGATTGTTAAATCCAAACAAGATGATGAATTGTTTGGAAAATTCTCCATCAAATTAGCTAGGAAAATAAAAATTATTTGAAAGAAGAGAACCAAGAAATTAATTAACCGTTCTACTCTATGTTTGTCCAGACAAGAAAATAGTTGTGGGGTAGTTATATATATATATATATATATATATATATATATATATATATATATATATATATATATATATATATATATATATATTGTGTGTGTGTGTGTGAAAAGAGAGAAGGAAAATGATGTAGAAGGTGAGATTTGCAAAAGAGTCAAAAACCAAATAAAGGGGTTTGTTGAAAACTTCAAATAGAATAGTCTCAATAAAGATAATTACGTATAGATAGTGTGACCAATAAATTTTCAAGAATTTGAAAATTCTTTTTCTTTCCTTTCTTTTTTCTTTTTATAATTATTCTCCCTCCTAGGAGAGTTATTATATTATTACTTGTTGATGAGAAGAAGGTGGACTATGGTGGTCAAGTCAAAGAGTTGACCTTTCTTATGCAAGCCACGTGTCATGTTGATCATGTGTCGAACTATTATTCATCGGTTGAAGCAAGATAGTTTGTATCAAATGACGCAAGTCCAAATCCTCTGGTCAACAGTTTAGGTCGAATTCGTCATGCATAATTAGCCTAGTGTAATTTACATATTTCATATAGTTTGCAAGCTATTATACGAGAGTGTAGATTTACACAATGCATTTATATAATTAGCTGCGTACTCCTTCGTTACTAAAAAAAAAGTATATATGTATATTTTAATTTCCTATGGAATATCCAACATATAAACGAATGAATTATCAATTCTTGGGTGAAATAATTATTAAAAAGATATTCATCCCCCAAATAAAGGGTGCAAATCTATTTCCCCAATAAAGATCGTGCAAAATGTTTTGTCCACATTTGGTACTAATTAATGAATTATCTAAATTATGTAAAATTAAATTACTATTTAAAACAAAAAGAAAAATGGGGAAAGCACATGCGCGCACGAGGGGACATAATTAAGTATTATGCGCCATTAAGCAGGCAATCAATGATGATTATGTTGGAGTACGACACACAGAAACATGCCAATGTGGGCCCCACTTTGTTCATCTGTTGGGGCACAAGTGGGGCCCACTTGTCCCCTTCAGTTACTGATACTGAGTTTGACAGTGGTCCATCATGTAATTCGTGCGTGTTATTAATTTCAATTTTTCATTTTTCATTTTTATTAGTTTTCTCAAGTTTCTTGTTTCTTCATGAACCTTGTTTCACTATGAATATATAATAATAATAAATATTAATAATTATCATCATTATATCAGTAATTATTGGAATTTAATTAGTTGGGAATCAACAGAGCCATCAAAGAAAATTAATTTCCCCTGCAAATTTAAATAATTCAGCATTTACCTGCAACATAAAATTTCAAAGCAGGTCCATCATTCAGTAGTTCTTCAGGATAATCTTAACCTAGCAATTAAATTTAATAAAAAAATAATCTAATGAATTTAACCTACATCAAAGGAGGGGGAAAAAAAATACCTCAAAAATCATACTAAATTCACATACCTGCTTATCTTAAGTTACCGGTGTTAGTTAGCTAGCGTGGGCCCTACCTACCTGGCCTTCCGCGCTTCGGCCGCTGACACTTGGACTTACTCCGAGTAGCTGAGGTGTCAGTCTCTGATGACTTCATCTCGTTTTTAGCAGTAATACGTGTTGTCAGTCTTCGAAGATGCCGATTCTTCGGTTGCTCCTCCATTTCCTCCTCCTCGGAATTACTACTTAATAACACCGCCTCGGATTCGACTAGGCGAATTCTTAGACTCCTCCGTAGTTTCTTCCTTTGAGGTTCATCTTCGTTTGATAGGTGTAACTTTGGCTCATTCGAAGTAAGATTTAATTTCGAAGAATCTATTTTTGCATTTGGCTCGATTAGAGGCTCCGTTTGTAGTGAACAACATTTCTCTGGCTTGAGGGAAGCCATAGTCACCGGTTTTGGTTCAGAAGAACTCATACTCCAACGCCTTAATTGTCTTCTTGTACGAGTCGATCCCGATAATATTTCTTCAGCAGAGGATGCCAGTTCCATATTTCTTGACCCTGAATGGGGTAAATTCTCAACTCCAATCGATTCAAAACCAGGAGGCTTTTTGGGGCTTGAAAAGTTGGGTTTATTGTGTTCCGATTGTTCAGATTCCTGCTTCAATTGTGTAGGTACGGCCTGGGGTTCGGGTTTCATATTCTCAATGGGGTCCGTTTCTTGCTGATGTGCAGCTCGAGTATCAGGTTTCATAATTTCTTCTTGATGTGGTGCGGGTTCCATAATCTCGGATTGGCCCGTTTCTTGCTGTTGTGCAGCCTGAGTATCGGGTTTCATAATTTGACATGGGCCCGTTTCTTGCTGATGTGCAACCTGAGTATCGGGTTTCATAATTTGAGATGGGCCGGTTTCTTGCTGCTGTTGAATCTGAGTATCGGGTTTCATAATCTCAAGAGGGCCCGTTTCTTGCTGATGTGCAGCCCGAGTATCGGGTTTCATAATCTCAATGGGGCCCGTTTCTTGCTGAAGTGCAGCCAGAGTATCGGGTTTTATAATATCAAATTGGCCCATTTCTTGCTCATCTGCAGCCAGAGTATCCGGTTTCATAATCTCAAATGGGCCCGTTTCTTGTTGATGTTCAACCTGAGTAACGAGTTTCATAATCTCAATGGGGCCCGTTTCTTGCTGCTGCAAACTCACCTCCTCCGAGTGTTTCATCTCATCTGATGCAGCTACGCCTGGAATTTCAGTGGGTAAAAAGCTAGGATTGCCACAAATACCATCTTCTCCATCAACAGAAGATAGTAATTTCTTTGTTTCATCCTCTTTGACTTGCTTGTCTTCACTGTGTTGTACTACATTTTCAGTCATTTCTTGTACTTTCTCATCAGATTCTTGATTTGTTTTGGTTCGTTCCACTTTTGCACTCTTCTGTTGGTTTCTTTTCTTGATCAATTGCTTCTTGCGCTGCCTTTGCTTCTTTCTCTCCCAATCCCACCTCCATTTAGTCCTCCACCGCTTCTTCTTCACTTTTGCTCTCGAATTCAGACCGTGATTTTTTTCACCAGCAAGCATGTATCTACTGTGACGAGTCACAGCAATTTCACCAGATTCACAAAGTTTTTGTAGATGATGTTTCAGTAACATAGAGTGGGCCCATGGCAAATTCTCGTATTCTTTCTCAAGAAACTGCGAAATAGAGTCCTCACTGGAGCCCTGTTTCTCACTCAACTCCCGAAGAGCCTTTTCTATCATCTGAAAAGTAATACGAAACACAATGCATTCCAAAAAAAAATCAATACACTACTAAATTAACAAGCTTATGCACACAAATTACGAGCCAATTTGGTTTATAAACAAACGTTGTAAGGAAAAATGTAAATCTGGACAAAACCTACTCAAGCATACAAGAAAAGTTGCTCCCAACCTTATAACATGAAGATTTAATACAATCCCAAATATAGAAATGGATGGAACGGATCAAAGGGTTTTATTAAATTCAAATTCAAGCAAATATTTCTTCAAATTGTAGAGTTAACAAGTTCCTTAGCTTGTGCATAGCCATAAACAGTGTATTTTCAAATCAATCACTCATGTATACATCCATGTTCGAATCTATACTGCCACATATCCTCGAGAATAGAGGCAAAAACAAAAGTATCTAAACAAGGATGAGGTTAAGCATTCGATACGATGATCTCCGGTGACTAAATTCAAATGAAATACAGTACATAATGCTATAACTTATAAGAAAGTTAATAGGAGTGAATTAGCATTTTGCATTCAAGCTTAAGGAAATATTAAATTGTTAGCAGTAGTTTCTGTAATATGAACATAAAAAGGGAAAATTAGTTTCTGGAATATACGTACAACATTTTGCTCATCATATCAACCCTTACGAAAACAAGATTTTGCGTTTAAAAATGCTTATAAAGATTAAAATGCATCGATATGTAACAGGAAATTTCTTGCAAAAAGATCAATATCGATCAATGGGGTCAAGTTGAATTTAATGCTCCAAACTCAACCATTTATGTAAGAACACAAAAAAATAAATGTAATTTAAAGGTTACGAGATGCTAATACTAATCTTTAATATCAGAAAACACTAAATGAAGTTGATATTTCGGTGACCCTCAGTCAGATTCGATGTTGATTCTAAATTTCTCATCGCTATTCTCTTTTCTCTTTTGGAAATTTATAATTGCCAAGTGTTCTCAAACAAAATATTGACATCGACTGGCAAGGAATTAGAGTATCGAGATAAACAAGAAAATCGCTCTATGTTTTTCAATACAGATAAAAGTTCCCGATTTCTTCAATGGAGAGCAGCAACAGATTCCACAACAAAAGAATCGAACGGATATCACTTTTTAAATTGGCAAAAAAATGAATTAGTCCCAATTTTGTCAAAACTTGTTCCAACGAAGCAGAATTTTAAAATGTTCTGTCGCACTCATCCTTAACAATTTAATACTAACATCGTGATGAATTAGCGGAATTAGATGATGCAAGAAAAGGAAATAAAAAAAACTTCAAAATCAATCAAACAATCAGATCGGAGTACATGTACGGAACTACCAATAACACAATAACCTTCAACGAAGCTAGAGCAAGGACCACTTGAGAATGAAGTAAATAATCGAGAACGCTCGAGAGTTAACCCGCCATTTTGATTCTATTGCATAAGTCTCTCGACATCCAACAGTCAATTTCCGAGAAATATATAGACACATATCCCATAAATATGAACATGCATAAACAAATACAGCATACTAAGCACAACCCATAATCAAGCACTAACTGAATAAATTAACAATTCATATCCAGCATAATTTTTTTAACATGCCCATTAAATCAAACAGGTTGCACGCATGCATCATTTGGAAACAAAACACAAAGCGCTGGATAAATACATCAAAAAAAAAAAAAAAGATGATTACCGCATAATAAGGTGGATGGTCAGGGGTTTTGTACTGAGAACCGAACTGATTCAAACGGTCGACGAGAAGGGTTCTGAACGCCGGAGCTAAGGGCGGCGCGTTTGGGTGAGTTTCCGCGAGTTTGAAAATAACTCGATGAAACTTTTCCATGGCTTTCCTCTGAGAATTTTGCTCGACGTGATTTGTGGGGTTTGAGAGAAGGGTTTCGCTGTGTGGGTTTTGTTGTGGAGTGCGGCACTCCATTTTTTTTTAAGGCAAAAAAAGATTTGGTTATTTGGGGCATACGAACGCAGTAGTACAGTTGTACTTATATTTTGGTTTGAGATTTTGTGGGGGTGTTTTGAGAAAAAAAAAGTTTAGGAAAGGGACTGATTTGCAATTTTCAGCTACATTATTGATACTTGAGTCCTTTCACCCACTCGGTTGGTAAACCGACCAAACATAATCAAATCGAAAATTCGGTACGAGTTAAATACTGAATCAAAAGTTCAAGTTCCGTTCGATATTCATTAAAGTATTTTTTGGATTTATCGGTATTCGATACAGTATTCAGTATTCGATCAAATCACATTCTTGATTGATTTTTGGACCGTGCTTTAATCTTAAACATGACTTAGGCTGAAGTTAGTACTCTGAAGTCTGACGGTCAAGTCAAAAGTTCAGGTTCCGTTTGATATTCGTTTAAGTGTTTTATGGAATTTCGGTATTCGATACGAGAATTATTCTCTATCGTCTAATTATAATTTCTTGAGTTGTTTCTTACCTCGTATGGTCATGATGTCGGGTATTTATAAGAGAATGTTCGGACGTCAATTTTTTCCTCGATTCAATTAAACTTGTCCAATCACTTTAGGGCAAAAATATCCCGGGACACGAAACTACCTTGCAATTGTATTTACCGAAACCCGAAACCGAAAACCGAAACCCGAAAACCGATACCCGAAACCGAAAACCGAAATACTGTGCATTATTAAATTAGAATCAGGCGATAAATTAAAAACAGATATTCTACAGTTTCGTAAGAGTAAAACCCCAGAAAGCAACACCCAATATTCTCTTTTTTCAGTGCTCCACGCTTTCATCAAACATCGAATTTCTCTCACCTAAGCATAGATTTTTCCTTCATTTTTCATTTTTTCCCCCCAAAAAAGCTTCAATTTTGGTGTATTAGTGTGTGTGTGAGAGAGTGAGGGCAAAAAATTGATGGATGATCAGGTGGTGCAGCGAGTATTACAAGAAGGCGGGCGCGATTTCTACCAACAGCAGCCTTCAACTTCTGCTGCTTCTTCTTCTTCCCCATCCATCCTCCAGTCTCTCCCCCTACATGTGGTATGGTTTTTTAATTTTTTAATTTTTTTGATTTGTTTAGTTTATTTCCCCTTTCAGCTTTTAATTACAAGTTTTGAATTGATAGATATGGTTTTCTTTGACGAAATTGTTTTCTGCCTGAATCTTATGAGAAGTTTTAGGAGTTGCGGATGCATGATTGTATCTGTTTTGTGTTGATGTGGATTGTTTCTGATTTGATTAATTATTAGAAAAATTGAAGTTCGAGTTTGATCGGGTACTACAACATTGGTTGTGGATGATCCCACCGTTATCTGAATATCTGCAGTTTTAATTTTATATTATGAATTAATTAGTTCGGGATATTCTACATTTCATGTTCGGGACGACGTAGGTGGAATGTAATTTTTTTCTTTCCCTTGTCTATTTGGTTTTTCTTCTACATTTTGTTTAAAGATTGAAGCAACGGTGTTCGGGTTTAGGCATTGGTATCCCCACATATGAAGTGTAGGTACTTGGCAGTTTTTTAAGAATGACGATTGTTGGTATTTGCAGTCATTTGATCATGGTTACTACTTGCTGGTGAAATCTATTCAAGAGCTCAGGTCAAAGAAAGATGGAGTGGTCACTATTGGAATAGGAGGTCCAATCGGATCGGGAAAATCAAGGTTTTTTTCTCATTTACGTAGTATTTTTGTTTCTAATGTCACTATTGATTGCTGGTCCTTACCTTTTTTTTAAGCTTTATTTAGCATTACCTTTTTTCGATTGTCACCCTAAATGTTAATGTTAATATGTTATGGTTCTTGAAGCTTATCTGAAAAGGTGGCATCCGTAATTGGTTGCACTGTTATGTCAATGGATAACTATCGCACTGGAGTTGATGATGGACATGATTTGGATTCAATTGATTTTGACCTTCTTGTGCAGAATCTCGAGGTATGCTTTTTTTTTTTTTTTCCTTTCATGTGCACTGTCATGTAGATAAGAGAAATCTTTCTTGATTTCGGTGATAACTATATCGAACATCTTTGTCTATGCCCGGATTGAAGATATGTATACTAGTGCATTTCTGAGTTGTACTTCCCAGATACTTGATATCTTGCTGACAAGTTCTTTTGGTAAACCCTGTGTATATAGTGGGAAGGTTTGGTGAGGCGTATCATGTGTCTGGAGGGTGGGGCGTCATAAGCCCCAATAATATTTATATGGAATATACAAAGTATAATTAAATTAAGTAGTTAGTCTAACATAGTCGTAAAACTAGGGAAAACAACAGATTTCGGGATATAATTTGATAATGAAATGATCATAAAAAAGGAGGAAGAATTGAGCTCTGGAACAATAATCCAACTGTTTTACAAATGTAAAAAACCACGAGGTAAGGATGAATATTTAAGATGCATTTGAACTTCGAGAAATGTTGATAACATAATTTAGCATCTCGACACTCCGAAATTGAGAAAGGAACTTTTCGAGTAAAAAGTATACACCTAATGACTTGGGCCTCGAAAGGCTTATGACCTGAGCCCACAGCATGTGCTCCTCAAGAGAAACTTTTCTCAGAATTGCCTCAAAGCAATTTACAAACTGCCCGACTCCAGGGCACATGCCATTCCCCCATAAACACTTTTAAAGCCTCTAGTAAAACCTTATTTGGTGTGTTGGCTTTGCGTTCGAATTTACTTTATGCAGATTGAAAATATGGATTTTAAACTTGGTGTTCTTTTGCAACAGGACTTGATAAATGGCAGAGATACATCGACTCCATTATTTGATTTTCAAGAAAGAAGACGTATAGGTTCAAATGTTATAAAAAGCATTTCATCTGGGGTGGTAAATTCTCTTACTATTACCACTTTTTCTAAACTGAATCCAAGTCTATTGAGTTTGATACTTCATATTTCGTTTGTAGGTAATAGTTGATGGTACTTATGCCTTGCACGCGAGACTACGCTCTTTGCTAGATATACGAGTTGCTGTGGTAATTTTTATATTAGAAGTTGTTACGTATAAATTTCACCTATCTAGGTGCTCTTGTTAACTGCTTTTCTTCGATATTCTTGAGGCTCTAGTCACATCAAATACTTCTATGGGTTTGATTAATTTTCTATATGTACGGTAATCAGGTTGGTGGTGTTCACTTTAGTTTACTTTCTAAAGTCCAATATGATATTGGAGAGTCGTGTTCGTTGGACTATCTCATTGACAGCATTTTCCCACTCTTCAGAAAGCATATTGAGCCTGACCTCCATCACGCGCAGGTTGGCATGTAGTATACTGGCAGCTTAACTTTTTATGACTATTTTTTTTCTTATTCTTGACTGGTTTGATTTCTTCTGTAGATCAGAATTAACAACAGTTTTGTTTCATCATTTCGAGAGCCAATTTACAAGATCAAATGCAAAAGTGAGGTATGTTATAGTTTAGGTTTTGAATTTTACATCTCATTGGTTGTATGTATGCACTCTTGTTTGTTTCATATGTCAAAATGCTCTGAATTGGAATTCGTTGGCTATGACAGTCTCAAAGTGGACACGCTGCCTACATTTTTCATGGAAAGGAAGCACAATTTGACAAGTAAGTTGCTTAGTGGAATTTTACTTTAGCCTTCCATGAAGATGGTCACTTGCCATTTCATTTGTCATTTTCTTTATGTTAGTAGAATCTGAGCTTGTGGATTTTTGCTTCAAGTTTTATTGAGATGTACTTGAGACCCCCTTCTGCAAGTGAAGAAGCACGGATAAATGATTGGATCAAGGTACGGCAATCCGGTATCAAATATTATCTCTCGCTGGGAGATCAAAGGATTGTTGATAAAAATTACATCATCCGGCCTAGAGCTGAATTTGAGGTAAAATACTCGTCGTGTAATTTTTTCGAGTACATCCTCTATAAGTTAAAACATTTTTGTTTTACAATTATTTAGTCACTACTGTTTTTTTTTTTTGGCAATAATAAGAGGATCAAATCTAGAATTCCAGATGTTCCCAATTCCAATATTTTCGTTGCTATTGCTTTCATCTATATATAATTTATTATTCATATATATATATATCAGCTGAACTAATTCAAGTTCTACAAGTAAATTATCCTGACAATTGTTTACTGTGGTTACCTTGTCACATACCTTATTAATAACTTGAGGGAGTAATTATTCATTGCTTTTTAATTTTTACTTATTTTTGCCTAATAATCAACTCAGCAATCAGTGGTCTTTGTATTGAAGTTCCTATGCCTGATAGTATGCCCTGATACTTTTATGTTTGAATTCTGAGATTTGTTGCTTTCCAAGGTAGTGTTACGTATTACAAAAACTTATGTATAGTAATAGCACTTCTGTTGAGAAGTTGCTTTTATCGGAAACATGTCACTGCTAATTCTTCACAGCTCTTACCTTCCAGCTGTTCTGTCAAGGCTATTATATGCATTACTTATTGTTTGGACAATGTATCAGGTTGGCCGGATGACTCTGGGTGGTTTGCTGGCCTTGGGATATACAGTGGTAGTCAGTTATAAAAGAGCATCAACCTCAGTTATTGATGGCAATCTTTCAGTGTCGTTGGAAACAATTGATACTCTAGGAGAGACCTACTTAGTACTCAGAGGCACAAGTAGAAAAGTATGGACTCTTCTTCCTTCAACAATGTTAAAAAAATACCCAGTACTGTTAACTGAATTGGGACTGTGTGTGTTATTAGTGTCCACCTGACTTCTTTTCTTCCTTTTAATATTTGGTGTTACTCATTTTTTGTGGCCAAAGTGGAACTTTTGAATTTGCTATCTACCATGTTTTTAGTATTTCTGTTTACTAACCTTGGTGTCAGTATCTGTTAATGCACATATCTTTGGGTTCTGATGCTGGTCTATTACTATGTTTGCACATTTTGTTGCTCCTGATATTTGTTTCTCAAGAATCATTATGATTAAATATCAAGGATAGCTAGTGAACTAGCACGCGTCACTTTTTGCATCTATGGGGATAAATGCTTGCTGCAAGTGAACTACTGCTTCAAGCCTTCCCTCCAAAGTCAATTAAATGATATACTTCATATCCTTCTCATCCTCTCCCTGGCAATATATAACCCAGAAAAGGAAGATGTCTTTCTTCCGTGTAGAGTTAACCATAGACTATGATTTCTTCACGTCATCCCACACATTTGTCGTTTTCCTTCACTTAGAAGCTATTTGACACACGAGACCACAAATTGTTTATCTTTGTATGTCCCTTCCTTCATTGATCTCTGCATGGTTGTATGAGCTCTCATTGCTTATATGCTGACCGTGTGGATCTTTCATGTTTGAATAAATAATTTGTTAAGGATGTCAATGTTGTATTTAATGCCTAATTTCAGAATTTCTGTTAGTTGTGTAGTTAGTAACGTTATACTGTACACCTCATTGTTAAATCCATTTGCCTCATTGTTTAGTTTTTTTGCTGTTCTAACTGTATCTTGTGCCCACTTGGGCTCCTCATGGCATGCTATGTTCAATTTTTTTGCGTTTGTAGTTCTCTGTTCATCCCTTGAACCTCAGAATTTGTGGTCATTTTAGCTCATCTGTTTGCTTGCTAGTTCATGTATCTCATTGTTTAACTTTTAGTTGCTATTGTACTGTCTACACAATATTCACTATTGATATGCCTTTTCTGGTATCACATAGCGTAGCAAAAGTTGGATTACTGGTGAGTCCTTCAGTAACAAGGAAACTCTGGAGTTGAACTTATGTTTGATGCAGTCAATGTCTTCTGTAGATAGTTGGAACTGAATCATCAAGGATGGGTATAACCGGACCGTGGATCACAAAATCATATCTCGAGATGATACTTGAGAAACAAGGTTTGAACTTGGATTATGTAATTACGAACACACAAGCGCACCCCCACCACACACACACACACACACACACACACACACAGGCCCCAGCCTGACCTATATATATGTCCATAGCCTCTCTGTTTTTAGCTTCCTCCCATTTATATTTCTTATCTCACTAATATATTAATAAAAAAGGTTATTTTTATGTTTTAAATTTATGTTCAGCCAAGTAAAACCCTTAAATTAAAGTACTTCGAAATGTAGTGATTATGAGGATTTGAATGGTTGAGTTGTGTGGCCTGATTATTAATTTGAGAAAAACGAGATGGTTAACCTAAGTGCTTTTATTTTGATATTATCAATTCTGATCAAGTTTATTTCATTATCGGCCATATCTCTTTATAAATGATTTATCCACATTGCAGGGGTTCCACGGCTTAATACACCCCCACTTTTGTCTAGTGTTACTCCAGTCACTACTCAAGAAAGGTTGATTGCAGCTCCAAAGCCGCTTCGTATAGCTCCTAACCTGGTCACTCGATTTGAGGATTTACCTCAGCCATGGACTCGGTCTCCGACCAAGTCTAAGATGGAACCTGTCATGGCAACATGGCATTTTATCCCACCAAATCCTCTCCTATCTGATGGATATGTCACTGGTATGTCCTTTTTGCTAGTAATGAAAATTCGCCCCAAAACTGTACTTGCAAGTGAACTAGAAAGATATGGGTCAATTTTTTAAAAAAAATATTTTCGCCGTATGGAGCGGTTGTTCTCATGAAACAATCACAGGTCCTCCCTCTTCCAGGGATAATCTGCAGCTTGCTCCAATGCCTGACTCATATGACTTGGATAGAGGATTGCTTCTTGCTGTACAAGCAATACAGGTGAGTGTTTTTCTTTGTAGATAATGTGATCACTTACGAGCTTCTTGCTTTTGGAGTTTGAGTTGTAGTCCACCACAATCTTGAATATACATATAACTATTGCAGGCGTTGTTGGAGAATAAGGGACTTCCAGTCGTAGTTGGAATTGGTATGATGGACTTCTCTCTCTCTCTCTCTCTCTCTCTCTCTCTCTCTCTCTCTCTCTCTCTCTCTATCTATATATCTATATATCTATATATAACTCACAAGCAAAATCCAAAAGAGCTAAACATTGCTATGTTCTTGTAAAGTCTCATTTATTCTTTCAAGTTAATAGAATAACCAAAAGTCCAAGTTTTTTCCTTTTTCAAATGTCCAAAACAGTAGGTCAGTACTTGCTTTCTATGCTACAATTTGTTTTTGGGTATATGATGTCCCCTGATTTAGTAAATAGAGATATCCTACGATGGCCAATAGTGAATATTACAGTACCTTTTGTTCGCTTCTTAACCTTGTTGTAGGAGGTCCAAGTGGATCGGGGAAGACGAGTTTGGCTCGTAAGATGGCAAACATTGTTGGTTGTGAAGTAATTTCCCTTGAAAGTTACTACAAAACTGAACAAACGAAGGATTTTAAGTACGATGACTTCAGCTCTCTTGATCTGGATTTACTGTCAAAAGTATGCAGTTTTTAATTTCTTCTCCACTATTATATGTTTTCTACATTTGACATCTGTACAATTTTATCAATGTCGTAAGTCTGTATGATAAGATACTCAGGACACATGAATTGTTTGATAGTTACAATGCACATGGGAACACCCAGTAAATATCTTTGTTAAGTGCTTATTTCTTCTGAAATTACATTGACAGGTTGATTTTTCAAGTTACTGTATGGAGAATTTAAAACTCTTGTTTAGAATTAATAAGAATAAATATTTGCGGGGCATGTTCTCTAATGACAGTTTTACCCACTGTAAAACTTTGATGACTTTTATCATTTTTAAGCCTCAAGGAACATTTAACTGCGGTTCTTCATTTCTCGGACAAAAAAAATAATAAATCAAAAGGGGCCCACATTTCCCTACGTAGACACCATTTGGTCTATGCACCATCACATTATACAATCATAGGGTGTTATGTGAATGGTCATTGATATTATATGGTATAACTCCCTGCAATAGCTCTTGGCCAATAATTTAGTCTCCTATTATGCCATAATAGAAACTTGTTTCAAGGTGAGAAGTCTGAAAGTGTTAGATGGAAAATATTCTAGATGCATGTGGACAATGAATCAGATCTAACATCCTTGTTAGTACGATGTTTTCCTCCTATTTAAAACTATTTTGTCATTTTGGCTATTTCAGAACATTGACGACATAAGAAATTGCCGTAGAACAAAGGTACCTGTATTTGATCTGGAGACTGGTGCTCGGAGTGGTTTCAAAGAGCTTGAAGTATCTGAAGATTGTGGGGTGGTAAGACATGAAATTGCTTTGTTACTTTGTTATTTTGTATGCTTGGGTTCATTTTCATGTGCACAAGTAATTAAGAGATTTTTCTTATAGAAAGAGAAGCAAAAATGCTGAGGATGAGTTATCCTTTTTTTTTTGGCCAGGTAATTTTTGAAGGCATTTATGCTTTGCATCCCGATATCAGAAGACGTCTGGACTTGTGGATTGCTGTTGTAAGTATGATGGAGCAAATATACTGAATCAGATTCATTTACTTTCAAGATTACTCACTTTTCGAGTAAAGTACCAGTTCGAAAGTAATTGCATGTCGTGCAGGTTGGAGGGGTTCATTCACATCTTATTTCTCGGGTTCAAAGAGACAAAAGTAGAGCTGGATGCTTCGTGTCCCAAAATGAAATTATGATGACTGTGTTTCCAATATTCCAGCAACACATCGAACCACATCTTGTTGAAGCTCATGTTAGTTTCTTACAGCATTTATTTTAGAACTATTGGTAAATTTTGCATAAATATAATTGGTCGGAGGTATAATACGGTAAGCAATATGGAATCTCATGCTAGTTAATTTGAAATTTAAGTACCTCTCGGAGCAAAATTTGCTCGTGGGTGCAGCTTTTGTCTACTTTTGTGATAACAGACAATACAAGTGTTTATCAGTTCTCCACTAATTTTGATTGTGATTATGAACGTTTTTCTGATGCAGCTGAAGATTAGAAATGACTTCGACCCAGTGCTTTCACCTGAGAGCTCATTGTTTGTGTTGAAAAGTAATAAGCAAGTAAGTTATCTTTCCTGTTGCTATACCGATATTTGAATGTAATCCATCTGATGGGGATTATTTTATTCACAGGTTGCTTACCAAGATATTCTAAAAATTCTTGATTCGAGTAAGATATGCAGTTCAGTTCAAAATTTCATTGATATATATCTGCGGCTGTCTGGAATACCTGCTAATGGACAGCTGACAGAAGGTGATTGTATAAGAGTCAGAATATGCGAGGGTAGATTTGCCCTGTTAATCCGAGAGGTTTGCCTTTTATTAGGAAATTATGTGTTACTTTTCTAGTAGCTTTTTCATCTATTTTTTTCCGGAAAATATGTTTGATGTTCATTTGATTCGTCAACCGCCCTCTTCTTTCTTGAAGCCTATTAGAGAAGGAAACTTTATTATTCAGCCAAAAGTCGATTTTGATATCAGCATCAGTACAGTAGCAGGTCTTCTTAATCTGGGGTGCGTTACGTATTTTGTAAAAGCTTACGGTGCTTCTTATTCTTTCCGTTTCTGTCTTCTTTATTTTTTATTTCCTGTAAATGAAATATCCCTGTGATTACAGGTATCAAGCTGTGGCGTATATTGAAGCATCTGCCTGTATTTACCAAGATGGAAAGGTTATACATCTATTAATTACCCTTTTGACCTCACCTCAAGTAAATTACCAGAATCGACTCGATTGAAATCCTCAGCATTCAATCAGATGATGACACTGTGTTGACATTTATATTTAAACGGCATTGAAATAGACAAATATCATCTCAGCTTATTTCTTTTTGTGTTTTTATAGATTCTTATTGAGATAGATCATTTACAAGATGTCTCGAGTCCTTATCTCCAAATTAAAGGGGTTAATAAAGAAACTGTTGTAGCTGCTGGTTCAACTCTCAAGCTGGATGGTTCATATACCACAAAGGTTCTCATTATACATATTGATGACTGGATTAATTTTCAATTTAAAAAAAATAAAAATAAAATATCAATTTTCGCCAGTTCATTCTTCTCTTCTTTCTCAGAGTTATCTGGAGATAATTCTGGAAAGGTTACCTGCAGCAGAGAGGAGTTCAAATGGGATTCATTCTCAGCAAGCTGCGAGATTGCAAGAGCTTGTCGAATACATACAATCTCAGGTATTAATTTTAATTTTTACACTGGATGGGTTTTCTTTATTATTAAAAGAACAATGGTATCTTAATAAAAAAAACGCAAGAACATGATTAAAATAAAGCACCCCTTTCCCTTTGACCGAATAATGAAACTGACGGTCATTGGTTAGTTGGAAAATTGATTTTTTCAGTGAGGAGATTAATGTAATAAATCATATGTTTAAAACAGGGCAGCAGTTCAGCTTCAGAGTCATCACCAAGTAGAGAAGCTTCTCCACTGGAAGGCGTTATCGAGGAGATGCAATCCAGGATTAAACGTCTCGAGAGATGGCAGGCTATCAACACTGTACTCCCCCAAAACTCTATTTTCCCCTAATGCCCCCGCTAATATTATGACATCATTTCGTTATAGAAACAACTATTTTCTTTTAAACCAATATTATGACATCATATTTTCTGTAGGTGCTATGGACATTTCTGATGTCTGCATTTCTTGGATACTCGCTCTACCAGAGGAAGCGTCAATGAGTTATTGCATGTTGAACATTGATTCAGTGGAAGCCCGAGATTGACTTATTAAAGGAAATCGGAAGCTGAGACGAAGAAAAAAAAACAAGTTGGTGTTTGTTCAAGGTGTGGTTGGCCATTCAAATTAGTTCTTCGAAATTTGCTTCAACAATCGAGGAGCTTCACAATAGATAGATACACTCTCTAACCCTCAATTGAGGAATAAACATTGTTTTAATATAGTACTGGTAGGTTAGGGTCTAATCAAGGACGATAAGCTGATCTCACCGTCTTTGGACATAGATTATTGTCACATATTAGCCATGTTTTCGATCACATAACTTCGATTAAATCTACATATCATTGGAGAGTATCTTCTCTCTCAGGTTGGTGTGCTATTTGCTATATAGCACATTGAATACATACACGAATATACATAAACTAATTTTCTATGGTAGTTTCTCTAAATTGTAGCATCGTTTTGCTAGTACTTTGCTCTCTGAAGATCTTATTACACGATTGTTCAAATGGAAAATCACAAAAGAAAACTAGGGTTCAAAATAACTTTTACGCGCATTCATTCATATCAAGTACAAAACGACCTGACGGAATACTACTGTTCAAATTTGCGACAATTAAATACTGTTATCTATCTGCACGAGAAAGACATTTAAGAAATAGTATTTTAGAGGTGTCAATAAATTGCCAGCTCCACAACCCCCAAAATCAAGGTTTCAGAGGAAAAAGTTCTATGCTTTTTGCATAATATACAGCCAACGCTAGTAGAAGGATCAGCAGAGCGATAATCCACAAGCCGTTTCCTGAAAAATCGAATTGAAGTAATAAGCAAGTGGAAAAAAATGATAAATTTAAAAATGAAAAGTAGAAGTTCCATTCCTATTTCAATGCTTGAATCCGATCCCGAAAAATTCGCCAGATTACAGTCTAACTCAACTAAAATTTCTAAAATCCAGCTAATCACAAATTCCAGAGTCGGATTTTCTACGAGGGGAATCTTTAGCCTCAGTAACTGAGTCCACACTAAAAAATGTGGAACAACATGCGTGCTTTATATGAAGAAATTGCGCAGGGGTTTTTTGTTTTATTTCCTAACCCCTTGCCTCACCCTCGAATTTTACAAAAAGACAAAAAAAAAAAAAAAAAAAAAAAAAGGTGTCGGCTCTTCATTAGCTATGACGAGACATTATTTTTCATCTTAACTTGCAATTGTACAAATATCATATACTTATATTTGATAGCAGATTAAAACATACGAACCTATATTAACAATTTGCCAGTAAAATTGACAGACCGAGACTAAAGGAGATGGACATAGCAAAATGCCAATGCCAGTTACCTGGGGGTGTGTTCGGTTGTTTGCTAGTTAACCAACTAACAAAACAAAACCAAGTAATTACTAATTTTGTGTTTGTCGAAATGAAAGAGAAGATAGAATCATACCATTTTCCTTTTTATCCTTGATTAAAGTCACCCGTGCACTTGAATCTAAGGATGCAGATACCAAGGCCCTGTTGGAATCACAGATCAGTTAGGCAGGCATGCAAAAGAACCGCTAAAATGGTGCACCAGAAAAAGAGTACAAGAATTCACAAACCTGGAATCTAGCGAAAATGCCAATGCAGTTACGAGGCCAAGATGTGCTTTCTTGACAACAGTCAGCACACGCATTCTGGCAGAACTCATAATAAAAATGTCCCCTTGAATTGTTCCTCTGCAATATTATCGGTTGGAGATGGTAAGAAACAAATTAAAAGACTGAGAAAGGAAGAAGTAAATTATTATATATTCTTACATGGCAAGGAGCTTTCCATCAGGTGACACGTTAAAAGCAGAAATTGGATCTCGGGAAACGTATGTTGAACTTATCCTTTTCCATGTACTAGTGTTCCATTTCACGATACTACCACCTCTATCTATGGAATGTGGCACAGAAATGGTGAGTGCTGTTGCCAATATATTTTTTCTGCGTAGAACAATGTATTGCTAGAATATGCTAACCTCGCATTGCTGTTATGTACAGTACTTGGTCTATGTCAGTAGCCCTTGAGAACCGGCAAAAACCCAAAATCTCATCCTGTAAAGGTAAAACAAACTTAGAGGAAAGAAAAACTGAAGTGGTGAAACAGATTATGCAAGAAAACAAATAAAACCATTCTAATTTGCCACTAAATCCCAAATTCGTGTCCAAAACCCTGATTTTGCTAGTCTCAAATATTTCTAAGAAAAAAAATTACATTTTGCCTGGGTAGAGAAGCTACGGATGTTGATGTGGCGACATTCCAAATCCTTCCAGGGCCACCTCCAAGAGAAACGAGAAACTTTCCATCGGGGCTGCAAAAGGCAACCGAATAAATGAAATCAACATTTTATTTTTGCATACAAGTTGTTGCCTAGCATTGAACTGCAATGAGTGTGTGTTAAATGATGCAATTTTGCAGAGAACCTGAAATCCAAATCTTTCACAGAAGGATGAGCATTGTCCTCACTGAAAGTACTTTCCATGGCTGGCCACTTAAAAACCCTTAATTTGCCATCCTGTGCTGCATCAAATATGTGATGATAAAAAAAGAAAATTTATGCAAATACAACACTCCGATTGCATAAAGTGGAGAGTCTCAACGTCTTAGAAAAGGAATGCGTAAAGTAATGTACAACACATTCAATCGGGTCTTTAAAGGAGTCCTACAGAAATAGAACCTAAAATGGCCAAAAAAAAAATCTCATATAGAGTAATAGAAAGTCTACAAGAAATCCATTATCTACTATATAATTTTCCATGGCTGGCCACTTAAAAACCCTTAATTTGCCATCCTGTGCTGCATCAAATATGTGATGATAAAAAAAGAAAATTTATGCAAATACAACACTCCGATTGCATAAAGTGGAGAGTCTCAACGTCTTAGAAAAGGAATGCGTAAAGTAATGTACAACACATTCAATCGGGTCTTTAAAGGAGTCCTACAGAAATAGAACCTAAAATGGCCAAAAAAAAAATCTCATATAGAGTAATAGAAAGTCTACAAGAAATCCATTATCTACTATATAATTTTGATTCATAAAGGTATGCCACAGAAAAACCCCATCCTAGTTATGATTCAGAAATCTCAATCATTCATAAGATGTCATCCATATACAACATAATCTGACAACTCATCCAAGAAATGGTCCAGAAAAAATATAAAAACATAACTAAGGTAAGTCCAGATATCTGTTTCCCAAGTTGAAATAGTGAAATATAATGTAGCTCGTCATCCAAAAAAATGGCAAAACGATGAACTATAATTCTTTTACCTCACCACCAACAGCAAGTAAACTTCCTTCGCTGTTAAAGGTCATAGCTAATTGTTGCCCAACATCTTCCAATTGCTCAAGGGCATTATCAGATGATTTCAAACTCAGAGTGTGTTCATCTGTCTCCGTGTTCAAATCCCATTCAAACCATCTGCATAACAAATACAACTCATTAACGGAAGTCATTGCAAAAAAATGTAATACCAACCAAAAAATATAGTATTGCTTTCACAAAAAGAAGTTAAACAAAAAAATATTTTTAGAGGATTAAGCAATATAAAGAATTTCAGCATGACTTTTTGGCCAATTTATGTTTTTCAGTGATTAAATAATTTGTATTCATCTGAAAGAACGTGCTGTGTTTCATTCCAGTGACTGAATTTCTAATTCTCCTTTAATCATAGTCTACATTATGTTTTATAAGAGTATGGTCACAATGTCAGTATATCCCTTTCGGATAATCATGTAGCCAATTCCAGATCTGCTAAGGATAAAACTCCTAAGCTGAGACATTAGGTTTACATCATTATCATTGGCACAAAAGCGACCAAACATACCTGCAACTTTTGGGAAACGAACAAATAATGCCTTCTCCTCCAGGATGCACTGCAATTCTGTACGGCAAATCACTGCCAGTTCCAAGTTCTGCCACCTTATATAGTGAAAAAAATCATAACTTTGTAAATTAAACCCAAAAGAAAATGAGAAAAAAACATATTCAAACTAATAACTGAAGTAACATCTTAAATCTTGACAACTACATACATCCTAAAGCATGTTTATACTGATCCCAAACACGAGAGAGTGATAACTGCTGTATAAAAACAATCATTGCAATAAATTTTCCTATACCAATAGCTCCAGTCTTTAATCTCGTTTGATAAGACCAATTTTTTTTACCAAATTACAAATCAATCTCAATTCTCAAAGGTAAAACACATATAAGCTAAGAAAAATCTGAGTAAACCCCCACATGATTCATAACCACAGATATATGAAACACAAATTCATACCGACACCCAATAAATGTGCGTGCACGCGAATAATTGATCAGAAAACTCACGGGCTGATCAGAAAGGGAATTCGAATCGAGGTCAGCGGACGAGAGGAGGAGAGAATTCCGTATTCCACTGTGGCCTTCTCCGCCGCCTCCGGCGAGGACGACATGGGGCTTCACAGTGTAGGGAGCGGGGGTATCCGATTCTGCAGCGGCGTCTCCATTAACGACGGCGGCGGCGGAAGGGGGAACCCACGCTGCGCCGTAGAGTGGAACGCCGTACTTCTGACTGCTCGGTTTGTCGTCGCCGTTCACCATTGTTTCTCTGTGACGTGAGTTTTGGGGCTTTCGGGTTTTGGTTTGTGAATCTGTGATCTGAGCGATTGCACAAAATTGATTTGCCAATTTATTATATGTATAAAAAATTGCAATTTAACAGTTATAATTGTCTTAATTATAGTTTGCACCCTTAATATATAGTATTTTGACATTTTGAACCTAAAAAAAATGAACAAAATAAAAAAACATTTTGAACCTAAAAAAAAAATGAACAAAATAAAAAAAACGTGGTCGGCAGGATTCGAACCTGCGCGGGCAAAGCCCACATGATTTCTAGTCATGCCCGATAACCACTCCGGCACGACCACTCGATGTTTCATTTATGTTATTTATTTTATATGATTTTGTAATATCATTAATTTGAAATTAATATGAAAAAAAATTAATATCCCTCTCATTTATTATATGTTACATGAATCATTATTGTAATTAAGACAAGTACCAAATTTAATGTATACAAATAAATTCACGAACATATTAGAGCCCGTTGGGCTTTGAAGATATGGATGTTAAAATCATGTTACCCAGGTAGGCTAAATAAATGATTTTGCAGTAGCCCAAAATATGAATCCTCAATGAATTGATTTAAGGGGTATCTATTTGAAATACTATTTTGTTGCTTAGTTACAAGTATTTCTTGTTTTCACCAATTATTACTATAATTCAGTATTATACCTCCTTATTTAAATATTGAACTTATTACAAATAAAACATTACATTACACACCCCACCCCCACCCCACACTTAATAAACCAATGTGAAAAACAAACCATCGCCGTATACGTCATAATTTGACCATCTGGTGGTACCTTCACCGACAACTAACTATTGTTGACTCGAGTCCTATACATAAAGGAAGAATTGAGTGGAGGCAATAAAGACACATGTAAGAATCGTAGCTTTGACCTGAACTCTCAATTCTTTTACTTTGTGAGATTCGGGATCCTTTTGGTGATCAGTGGATGAGCTTGTGCGCCTTGATGTCGGTTCCATTTAGTTCTCCATACTAACTTGGTGGTGCTGGTAGAGTTTCTCTGTAAAATCTTCTCGTTTAAATCTTCGATAGAAATATTGAATTGTTCGAAGCTCCAACTTCTCGTCTCTACGGTTCTTTATACTTCAAAGATGTAACATATTCTTGCTATGTAATAATTATATAAATTCAAACTTACCAACTTCATTTCAACCAATCTACACCTACTTCCTATTCATCCCCAAAATAAAAAAAATAAAAAATATAAAAAATCTAATAAACATCTACCTACTCTCTATTCATTAAAAATAAATTGAAAATTAAAAATTAAAAAATTAAAAGATAAATCTAATTGGCCGTTCTATGTTCATATAAAAACACTACCTACCTACCACTCTCTTAATTTCTGGTTTCCTTTTCCGATTGCAATCATTTGTTTTTCTTCTCACTTAGTTGAACTTCTCTCCTCTGAGCAATGGCGGGGCAAATCTCGACAGTGAAGTTGGGAAGTCAAGGACTTGAGGTGAATTAATTTATCCACATTCTTTTTACCTTCTCGCAACTTCAATTTGATTAATCATTCGTTGATGATGAATTAAAGGCGTGTTTTTATAATTTCTGTAGTAATGTATACATATACAGATTTGATTACACGAAACACGCTTTTTTTTGTTGTTTGTCTTGCTATTGACTTTGTTCCTGGTAATGTGTTTGTATTTCAAGTTCACAAAACTGTTTCAGAATTCAGATCATGGATTTTGGGGGTGGGGGTGTGTGTGTGTGTGTGTGGGGGGGGAGGGGGGGGGGGGGTTTGGTACTTACTCAAATGACACGAATCTCTGTTTAATTGCGTAATTTGAATGTTGTTAGCTTCGATTGAAAATGATCCAAATAATCGCTGTGTTTCTACGAATCCGCACTAGAAATGATCGATGCCACTGTACTTTGTCGATCGATTCTCCGGCTGAATATAGAACTATAGTTTGCTGTATCCGTTTTATTTTGTTTGTTGTTGTGTGTGTTTTACTTCATCTTCTCTGCTGCAGGTTTCGAAGATTGGCTATGGTTGCATGGGCCTAACTGGAATGTACAACTCTGCCCTCCCTTTGGAAGAAGGAATCGAAATACTTAAAGAGGCGTTCGGTCAGGGCATTACTCTGTTCGATACTGCTGATGTTTACGGTGCCAACTTTGCAAACGAGTACTTAGTAGGAAAGGTAAAAAACACTAAATATAGTGTCACTTCCGAGTGTTTATTGTAAATATATATAAAATAACTACCAGAAAGTTCAATTAAAGAAAAACTCGAATGCTTCAGGCGCTGAAGCAGTTACCCCGTGAAAAAATTCAATTAGCGACGAAATTTGGTTTCTTTTCGTTCGGGCCGGAGGGAATTAAAATTAAAGGTACTCCCGAGTATGCGCGGTCTTGCTGTGAAGCTAGCTTGAAACGTCTCCAAGTCGATTATATTGATCTTTATTACATACACAGAATTGACACAAGTGTTCCTATCGAGGAAACTGTGAGTCTTGTATTCGTTTCGTATATGTATATGTTCTATTAAGGGCAGAGTGCTCGTGTTTTGCTCTTGAAGTGTCGTCATGAATTTGTCGGTTCGTTGTTTGCAGATGGAAGAACTCAAGAAATTAGTCGAAGAAGGTAAAATTAAGTACATTGGTTTGTCTGAAGCTAGTGTAGACACTATAAAGAGGGCACATGCTGTGCATCCTATAACTGCATTGCAAATGGAATATTCCCTTTGGACTCGTGACATCGAGAAAGACATAATTCCTCTTTGCAGGTTCGTTTCATTTTTTTGTAAGGTTATACTTTCTTACTTCCGGAATTGTACAATTTTACCTAACACAAGAGTTCATATAAAGTCACCTACGTTTTTAACTTTAACGTTGAACATAAACCGTGTATACTTACGTTTCTTGGATTAATCTTGCACATTTGCTTTTAGAGTTTTTGTTCGTAATTAGTAAAAAAATTATCAGAAACTAATGATTTTTTCTCCCTATGAAATTAATAACAGGGAACTTGGGATTGGTATAGTTGCATACAGTCCGGTTGGTCGTGGGCTTTTCGGCGGGAAGAAAGTTGTGGAAAGCATACCTCAAGAAAGTGCCTTGGTGTGTTTCTTGAATTTGTATAAATAAAATCCTTCGTAATTTTATTTACGCAAACTTACTAACTTTCTATTATTAGCAAAACCACCCGAGATTTACGGGAGAGAACTGGGAAAAGAACAAAGCTATCTATTTTCGCTTAGAAGAATTGGCTAAAAAGCACAATTGCACGCCCGCTCAACTCGCACTCTCGTGGGTTCTTCATCAAGGAGCTGACGTTGTACCTATTCCAGGTTACGAGAATGATGAATTTATGTGTTCGATTTTCCTCTTTTGCGGTTTTGAAGGCGAAATTTTTATTATTTTGTACCGTGTGATATTTTCAGGAACGACTAAGACGAAGAATCTTGTGGACAATGTGGGTTCTGTGAATGTGAAACTGACGAGCGACGATCTGAAAGAGATTTGTGAAGCTGTTCCGATCGAACAAGTGGCGGGAAAGAATCAAGGTGAGGCTCTTTATAACATTTCTTGGAGATTTGCTAATACACCACTTCGAAAAAACGAGTAAGAGCAAAGTGTAATGCAGTGCTTGGAAGATTTGTTGCTCGGGTTTTATAGTTTTATTCTCGGATTATTATGTCATAAATATGCATTTTACTTTTGATTTAATGATTTCAAGTTCATAAAGTTTGTTTGGACTGATTCTCATTTGACAATAAAATTTAAATATTTAGCTCTTATTTAAATTATTTCCTTAGTTATTATAGTGGATATCACATCTATTTCATTTGGAAGTCGGGTAAACTAGGAACACCCCTGGGCTAAGATGAAATTACGAAAAAATCTCTCATGTTTTGGTAATTATAATCACACCCTCATTTATATATTATCTTACACGTACATTCTTATGGTGTCACATTTATTTGTTAAAGGAAATGATTTTTCGTAAGACAATAAATAGTTGAGGAAGATGGTTGTAATTACCCAAACATGAATTTTTTTTCGTAATTTGACGTTAACTCAGATGGTGGCCGTAATTTGCCCTTCAAAGGTCATTTGAAGTCATTACATCGAATTCTCTTTTCAAATTCAAACACACTCATCCAAATGCACCCTAAATGGCTCTTAATAACTGATTTAGTGTGTCCCACCAACTCTCGTTGGGAGATTTGATACATGCGAATCTCGCCCATCTCCTATTTTTCGACATATAACACGATTAAAAGAAAAATAGTATTTCCAAATACATGTATTTACATGAAACAAGTCGAAACTTTTATAAACACGTTTGGGTTCGAAAAAGGCAAAATTGTATGATTAACTACAATGTTATTATTTTGCTTCTCACTTCTAATTCCAATTTCAAGTAAATAGTATTTACTTTAACTGATTAAAAAAATACGTGTATTATTATTATTTTTAAAATAAAAAACCCTCAACCTAAAACCCTAATCCAACTTAAAAAAAAAAGGTAAATTACAACAACCCTGAGCTATGGTCAATTTACAAAAAAAACCCTCTTGTTTGGATAATTACATCTACCCCACAACTATGATTTTGCCTTACATCTCCACCATTATGATGTCAAATTCAACATAATCATCTAGATTTCGTGAAATGTGTTCTACTTTGTACTCGTTTTGTGTAAAAAACAGTTTTTGATGCACCACAGTCATCATATACAAGCCAAAAACCACATATTATGATCATCTTGCTTCAAAATGTGGAGTTCGAATGGGATAAAACAGGTACAAAAGTGATAATATTTCATATAATCTCGAACATTTCACTAAATTTGAAACCACAAGGGTGGACATGTAAGGAGATTTATAGTTGAGGGGTGGTTGTAATTACCCAAACAAGAGGAAATTTTTGTAATATAACCATACCTCAGGGGCAGTTGTAATTTAACCAAAAAAAAAAAAAAAAAAGAAAAAAAAACATTTTGCTTGGTTTGGCCCAACTTAAAACCCCTTTGTAAAACCCTAATCCCCTTCAACAAGAAAGTCTAGAACTTTCTACACCCATCTTCCACCTCCCTCTTTCTATTTATCGCTCTCGCCACAAATCCAACACCAGTGAACACACACACACACACAGTAGCACAATCAAATCAATTGTTTTTAGCAATGGCGAAGCGTTTGATCCCAACACTCAACAGAGTCCTCGTGGAGAAAATCGTCGCTCCATCCAAAACCACAGCTGGTATTCTTCTCCCAGAGAAATCATCCAAGGTATTAATTTCTCTATTTCCCCCCTTTGATAGGATCCGAATCGATTTAATTCTGATCTGATATCAAATCGATTTTTTTTCCAGCTGAACTCTGGTAAAGTGGTTGCAGTTGGACCGGGATTGCTGAACAAATCCGGGAACACAATCCCAGTCGCTGTTAAAGAAGGAGAAACTGTTCTCTTGCCTGAATATGGCGGAACTCAAGTCAAATTGGGTGAAAAAGAGTGAGTCTTTATTTTAGGGTTTCTCTTTATATGTATATATATATAGTCAAATTGTATCTATTTTTTGGGTTTTTTTTTTCAAAAAAAGTGACGGAATTTTGGTGTGGTGAAATGCAGGTACCATTTGTACAGGGATGAAGATATCTTGGGCATCCTGCACGATTGATTAACGATTGACGTCTCGGAATTGACGTCTCGGAACTGTGAATTGAGGTTAATTTGGGGAAGTATTTAATTTCATGTTTCTTGAGTTTTTAGGTGTGGGCTCTTTTGGTTGTAACTGATTAAAGACTCTGCCTATCGCGGTCGCTACTTTCGGAATTTTAATTAGTCTAATGAGAATTTGAAAGATTCAATAATTGCATTTGTTTGCGTATTGCTTTGCTCTCGGTTCAGTTTCGTCAGTCGTTCCGTTTTTTAGTTCGATTATGTGGGTTATCTTTAATAACTTATACAACGAGTTTTCGTGCGATTTAGTGCCCTTCTTGGTATCTATTGGATTAGTCGCTCGAAATTCGAATGATGCTCTAGCCAAATATGTTTCTTGATGATTTATTTTGTGCTCTAGCCAATAAATCGGACCGTGGATAATACTCTTTACTAGAGAAATATGAAATCCGAGAAGGATAACGAAAAATATCAAGAATTGTTTTGGAAGATTCTCTTATTCTCGTCTTATCTAATTTGTCTCCCAATAATAGTCTTTATCTATGAGTAATAGGACAACTCTTTCTTCATGTGTCCTTATCTTCTTGAATAATTGTTGTTAGGTCGTGCATAAGTTGTAATTGTTCGAAACAAATTCGTATTTCTATAATATTAATTAACAGTTGTCATATCAGATATAATATGTTCTGCTATTCATTCAATCTTCTCGGTCGATTATTCCTCAAGTGTGAATTTATTTATTACAACTTTGCTTCATTATTGAATATTGAAACGGTACTTGGCTGCTGTATTTATCATTGGTGTTTGTTATAGAACATTTAAGCCATCGAATTTCATCCGCTTGTATTCGTATTTCACACACACCCACACGTGTGTGTGTGTGTGTGTGTGTGTGTGTGTGTAATTCGAAAGGATTAGAGACAAGATGAGTGAAACCAGGAAAGACATGTCTGAAACTACGATAATTTGATGAATATAACTACGTGTTTGCCATGTTTTTATGTTTTTCTCTATTCTTAATTCTGTTTTTAGGGTTCAGAAAGTCATCATCTGTTAGTATTATCTGAAGATTTTCGATTAGTTTAAACGTCGAAAACAGTTGTTTTTTAATGGGCGGTGTGTGTAATAAGGGAGATGATTTTTCCATTATTCTTCCATTACATCCATGTTTTGAGGGTATGTATGCATGTGTTTTTCTAGTCTCCTCTCTCTGTAATATATTATAGTTTCTTTCTTCCCAGAAAAAAAGTTATAAAATAATTGCCATGTTATTTGCAGATGACCTGTTTAATTGTGGTGGCTCAATTATTTAAATTTAGTAATTTCATTGTCCAAATTATCTAATGCAAGTGCATCCTAAAATAATAACCATCTGAAGTGTATCTTCTATGTTATCCTAATTATGTCTTAATTATGTTTGTAAATATTTTGGAAAATGAATTTATTTCCTAGGCGACAACATTAAATTGATAAATTTAAATTGATAAATTGACTACGTAGGTTGACTATTTTAAGGAAATAAGTCGAATACAATTATCAATTTATCGAGTTCTCCATTTATATGGCAATAGATTTATCTCTTAAGTACATTGATAATTTGTTTTATTTATTGTGTATTTCTTATGATATTTAATAATACTTGGATTTTTCTCTTCAAGTCAAATTGACTAAGTTATTTATTGTAGCACCTAGAAATCAGTCAAATTAGATGTTGATAGCAAACGAAAGAAAAAAAGAAGAAGAAAGAATAGTTCTTATTTATAAATGAATTAACAAAAGATTTACATAATTTAGTACTTATTGAAAACTAATATTTGGTATTTGGTTAAGTAGAATTGAGCTTTATCATATATACCATTCTACACATTTTAACATGTGATGTGCAATTTAATGTTTTTTTTACAAATTAGATCTAATATTGAAACAAAATGAAACAATAATGTAAAAATTGATAAAATTAGCTAAAAGTAAGGAGGAGTGTGCGTGTGTGTGTTTGCGGATTGATGGGAAGCATTTTACCGCCCGATGTGTTGGTCGGGATTGTAGAGGAGGAAGTTGTTGGTTTATGAAATGAGGAATGTTATAATTCCGGCGGTAGAGGCGTTTTGATGTCCAGACTCCTCGTAGGCAGTGGAAGTTCTTTATGTCCAGATTGTGGTGCCTCGGCGGCGTTCGTCGGTGAAGGAAGATGAGGTAATCGTGGAAATATAGGGTGAAGAATAATGTGGTATTAAATTTAAAACTACTTAAAGTGTAGGACTTTTGTTTAATGGAAAAAAAATGAGTTTGAACATTTCCTTATTATTGTAATGTTTTGGCTATATCTAATGGCCCTAATGAAAATAATAAAATATAAATATATGAAATTAAATCCCAAATGTTTTAAGCCAAGTATCCTTATAGAGTTATAGTTAATGACCTGACCTAGCCACTAGGCCAACTCGCACCCTCCAACTGGCAGCCAACTCAAATATCATGGCAAAATTATTCAATTGTTAATTCACCCTAAACACAATTAATTAATTTAATACAATCAAGGAAAAAGGAAAAAAAAAAAGAAAAGGAAAACGAAAAAGAAAAGGAAACAGAGGAGAAAGCGTTGACCTGTTGAAGACGGTCAAAATCAAACCTAGCTCCCAAACACACCCTATCCCGTTACACTCCAATTCTCTGCCATCATCTCGTCATTCTCTCTCTTCTCTCTCGCTCTCTCTCTCTCTCCACTGTTTTTGTTGTCTTGTCCCTCACTATCCTTTGTTCGAAGCACGTGCGCCCCTCTCTCACGTCACGTGACCCCACCACCCCTCCAGCTCCTCCCTCCCTCCTCTTCTTCTCTCTCTACCGATACACACACCAACCCACACAGGGCCTGTATCTATCTGTACATCATCATTTTTTGGATCATTTCTGTGTCTAATTTTTTTTTAATAATTCATTAATCAAAATTTACTATGATGTGAAGAAAAGCGCGATGAACGCGTACAATCGGCTCCCGACCAGCGGAAACAGCAGCCCCTCGTCGCCGCCGTCGTCGCCGCTCAGCCGCTCCCCGCGGTACCGCCACCGCGGGTCCAAATCGGGCCGCCCCCCTCCCAAGACACTCGCGCAGCGCCTCGCGTGGATCGTACTCTCCGTCCTCTTGAAGCGGCAGGGGATTTTCCTCTTCGCCCCTCTCTTGTATATTGCCGGGATGCTGTTCTACATGGGTACGGTGTCGTTTGATGTCGTTCCGGTTATTAAGCATAGGCCTGCCCCCGGGTCGGTTTATCGGAGCCCGCAGCTGTACGCCAAGCTCCGCCCGGAGATGGACTCCGACAACTCCTCCGCCGATGCGGTAAGTGGATTGGATTCTCTCTTTGTTTTTTCCGTTTCACATTTCCCCAATTTCCCCAATTTTTCCAATTTCTAATTTATATACTCTCATTGATGGAAATTGAAAACCTGAAGTGCTTAATTATTGTGATTTTAAGATTGAAAGCGACTTCAACTTGTGATGATTTTAACACTTCATTTTTCCCTAGGATTGAGTACCGATTACGTTTGGTACTTCTCAATCATCTGAAAACCGATAATTTTTAGAGCACTTTACTTTTTGTTTGCTGCTATCGTGTTTTCGGATTGGAGTGTGTATCAATTTAAGCATCTGTAGTTGAGGCATGCCACTGTGTGTTTTTAGATCTCTTTCAGTGAAGACAATGTGTTGTTTCAGTTTATCAGATGTCGCACTCGTCTCTTCATAGTGGAGCCCCCTCTTATCGGTGGATAACCTATTTCTAACCAGTATATCTCTGCTAGTTGTCGATTGTTGAACTCGATTCATTAACTGCAAATATTACGTTTCACATGCCAGAATTTTTCACTGGTGTGGATTTGTTGCAATACGTGTTAATTAGTTTATTGTTAACAGTTAAGTGCACCTTATTTATAAAAGAAAACTTGTTTTCTAATCTGAATGTGGTAGAAACCACTGGTTGGGTTGGTTACGAGGACTTGAATACTTTAGTTGACCTGAAATAATAATGTGTTAGTGATGTAGGATGCTTTAGTATTGGGAGAAAGCAGTGAGTTTATATCCCAAATCACCAATTAGTCTTATACTACCAAGCTGTTTATCTAATAAAAAAAATCGTATTTATATTCGTTGCAAATGTAGGATGGTAGCCATGTTTTTAATATTTTCAGATGTCTGTGATCATATTTATGAGCTCTCTTTTGGCATCAATTACCATCAATAGATTATAATTGCTCAACCTGATTGTTTGGATAATTGATTAAACAGAATAATAAGACGGAGTTGCTTAATACAACTATGAGAGTCAAAGTCTGTAGATGCCATAATCAGCTCTACGAAACCATTAAAATATTTTAGGAAAGATTGCATCTTCAAGTAAACTTTTTTTCTAATATATCCTCTCACTTAAGTTACTAATATGACGCCACTCCCTCCAACCCATAACATATTTCCAGTACTGGATACTGAAGGCATACAATAATGGGGATTTTCGCTGTCAGATAAACACATGGAAAATATTATTATTAAGCCATTTGATGTTCAGCAATGTACTTTTTCAGTACTGCACATATGTATGCTAATATGTATATGTATGCACGTTCATATGCTGGTGAGAAAAATATCTGCGACTATCTAGTTTTATTCGTCATCCAATAAATGCTTTTAATCGAAGTCTTTAAATCAATACAGATATCTACTATATGGAAAAACTCTTACAAAGGTGGCGAGTGGAGACCATGCATTAAGAAGGCTTCTGAAGGTACGAGACTTTCTCATAGACTCATACATATTTAAATTTAGGCCCTTATTCTTTCTTGGTGTATACTTTACTATGTACTATAGCTAGAAGAGCTAACTAACAGGCTAGCAGCACATTGCATAAAATTAGATAATTGTAGGCTCAGTATTTACTGGACATAAAGGAGGAATATTTTTAACTGAAGCTTTGACAATTTAGCCTTCACAACTTCCATAGATTTGAACCCTACATATTTATTTTCCTGTCATAGCTTATTCAGTGAATGAATGAAAGTTTCTGATGGGGAAAATGAAACTGTCAACTTGTTACATCTATTCATGTTTCATATCAGCTCAAAAATACAAATTCAAAAGCATGTGGATCAATAATTCGGTGCAGGGGTGCTTGACGGTTGTTGATTTGGCCTTTCTTTGAGGCATGTTTGGTATCTGACTGTTTACCACGTCCACAGTTCAAATATGAAACACAGTGGTGCTAGAATGTATTTTAACCGCATAATGTGAAGCTAATTGCTGGTCCTAATGGTCGGGGTTGCCCATAAGTTTGTCTCAGAATTATTAGTATTGCAATCATAGTAGGAAATCTGTACTTGGGATATTTATGGTCCTGGATGTTGGAGGATGGGAGGTAGAAAGGAAGGTTCGGTTAGAGCTTCTAGTTAGTTGAATAATGCATCTATGAATCTATAAATACATAATTCAGATGGCTAATGTTTGATGTCACCAAGGAACTGGATAGAAATATACGCAAATAGCTATGGCATCAAATTTCTTTTGTTATTGCTATAAGCAAGGCAATACTTTACTACTTTTTGATTTATCGTCAAGTTCATGACTGTGTATGATGCCACTAATGCATCATCCCGTAGTTGAATCTCCACTTGTTACCTTCGGCTATGGTCCGCAGTTGTTAATAGGATGATTACACACGTTGTTCTTCACTCATGAATACCTTAATGCTTCATAGTGGCTGTAAAGGATCCTATAATGTTAAGTGCTATATTGTGTCCTTACTATTTCTTTATGCGACACTAGTTTGGTTGGCATGACTTTTCTTCTTTTTTCATTCTTGGTGCGCCCGCGCCCTTCTAACTTTCTATATTTGCTAAGTTTCATTATTGTTTGGATATGTTCTTTTTAATTAAATTTAATTATGAATATGTGATATATCTATTTTTTTATGCTGTGTAGGATTACCCGAGCCAAATGTATATATTTTTGTTGAGGCCAATGGTGGTCTGAATCAGCAGAGGACATCGGTAGGTTATTTTTGCTTTTCATGTTTATGTTGTGGTAAACAATGTTTGGGCTTACATGCTTGCTTCATATTATTGATATCTGTGCTTCCAGATTTGCAATGCAGTTGCTGTGGCAGGCTACCTTAATGCAACTCTTGTAATTCCAAACTTCCATTATCACAGCATTTGGAGAGACCCAAGGTGGGTAATATTACTATCACTGAGATATTGCCCATAGTTAACTATGGATATGCTAATATTTGAAGAGAGAAATGTGTGTTTTGTTAGTGGTAAGGTTCTAATGAAAAAAAATGGCCACGCCTTTTCAGTTATAGTCTCCCGCTCGTCTACCTCTTTTTTTTTTTTTTTATTTCTCCCCTTTATTGGCTTCAGTAATTGATTTTGGAAAATATGATTAATAACCTCTAAAATTGCTTTGATCCTATGTATCAGTCAATCAAATGAATTATTGTATCTCTCTTGGTTCATGATAATATGATATTACTTACATGGACATATATATCAGCAGTTGCAATACATTAGTTTGGGTACTCATCAAATATGTGATAAATACGATATACTTACATGGACATATATATCTTTCTTGGATTCTGTAGGGCCTGTAAGGTAGGGTCGCAGTTTCCTCTTCTTTGATGAGATTTTGTTTTTATTCACAATCTTATGATTTATGCGCGTTTTGTACATTGACAAGGAATCACACTGAAACATTGACGTTGCTCATGGAATTAATGCGTATTGCATTATTTGACATTGAGACAACATACTTTTCATTTCAGAGAATAAAGTGTCTGATACAGCTTCTCTATTTGCAGCAAATTTGGCGAGATATATGATGAAGATTTCTTTATAAAAACCCTACAGAACGATGTTCGGGTAGTTAAAACAGTTCCAGCATACATAATGGAGCGATTTGACTATAACTTGAGCAATGTGTACAACTTCAGGGTAAGAGCATGGGCATCCATCAAGTACTATAGTGATACAGTTCTTCCAAAGCTACTTGAAGAAAAGTGAGTATTTCAGGTTTCTTGTACTCATTCCTTAACATACTTGTGTTTCCATGCATAATGACCGTCCATAGCGCATTTCTTAATGATTCTGTACAACGCATTTGTAATGTCTGAATGACAGGCTCATCACCCTTCATAAATATAATTTCTGAAACATGGTTATAACTTTATAGAGGATATGGATGGATTGGAAGAACATCTTTTCTGCTTTCCGAAGTGCTTGGAACTTAATCTGTTCGTCTTTGGACATATCCTGCAAGTCACATTGATGATTATTTATTCTAAAGGAGATTTTGAGTTTTATTCTTTATAATTTTTTTATTTATTTAAAAGATAAATAACAATTCCCTATATGAATTGTAGTAGACATCTCATTGCATATGGTATGCCAATGGATTATCTTTTATTTGTTGAATTCTGTCCATTTTGGTTTTGGAATTCTTCATTTCCCATTTTCTTTTGTTTCTTGGGCTCAATTTGGTGTACTTACTACACATGATAGTTTAGCTTGAATAAAATTGCATGCTAACTTGTTATATTTCAGTATTATATGCGAGAATATTAGGAGGATGTTTGTATTGCTGTTTCTTTGTCCTAGTCTAACACTGCCTAGAGTTTTACTGACACCAAGATGACGGTGTAAACTTTTCTAGCTTGATACCTTGCACTGGCTTGTCTTGAATCGACACATTTATTGACAATAGATGAATATCATCATCCTCATACCATATTTTTATTTTTGCAACTATTCCTTTTCATTAGCGATACCTAAACAGTTTCACCTAATTTTACATTTTTACGAAGTAGTAACTTTTAATCTGCGAACTCAGGATCATAAGGCTTTCTCCCTTTGCAAATCGACTGTCATTTGATGCTCCACCAGCAGTACAACGACTTAGATGTTTGACAAATTATCAATCTCTAAGGTTCGCAAATCCCATATCAACTCTAAGTGAAACTTTGGTTGCAAGAATGAAGGAACACAGTGCAAATAATAGTGGCAAGTACATCTCTGTGCACCTTCGCTTTGAGGAGGTTAGTCAGGATGGAACCGGATGTTCGTTTTACTGAACAGTTTAAAAAACAAGCACTGAAATATCTTCTCTGTAGGATATGGTTGCTTTCTCTTGTTGTATATATGATGGCGGAGAGCAAGAAAAACTAGACATGGATGCTGCTAGGGAAAGAGGTTGGAAGGGAAAATTTACTAAACGTGGTAAAGTCATTCGTCCTGGAGCCATCAGGTTAAATGGGAAATGCCCTTTAACCCCTTTAGAGGTACTATCTTGGAATATTTTTAATCATCATTTTTTCCCCTTCTCTTTTTTCCTTCTATTTTTGCAGATTTTTCTTTTTCGTGTTAGTTTGTGAAGGTATCCATCTTAAGTTCTACAACGTTATAATTCTTGCATCACTCATTAACGAAAATTCATATTCCCATTTTTTACTGAAATACGAACTCCTCATAAAAAATGTAAGAAATTATCGCATTCCTATGAAAATGTCATCGTGGCTTACATGTAAACCGATAAAGAAAGGATTTTAAAGGCTGATTCAGATGAGCTACATGCAATAAGGATGTTAATGACTTCTCCCCAAAGAGTCCTAGCTTTTAAACAAAAAATGATCAGTTACAATTCGGATTTCTAGTCTATTATATTTACTAGTATAAGATGTGCGGTTTTTTATTTTTCTGCATGAAGATGTTCAAAGTCGCTTCATGCTTTACCTATCTCAGAAAGAGCCTAAACACATAGGACACTTATGGTGACCATGTGGGCAAAAGACTCCTTGGTTAGTTATTTGTTGGTTAAACTTCGAGGACCTTGAGGATATAATTTCATACGTTGCTTAACTGATATGTGTTGTTACCATTCACTTACACTGTTGAACAGTTTGGTAAAAGTTTAATATGATCCATATGTTCTATATTTGTGGAAGAGTTATATATTTTTTTTCGGTGATGCTTGTTTTCATTATTCACAATTTGTTTCAAGATTAATTACTTCTGCACATTTATCAAGCTGCTCTTGCTTTCAGGATTGTGGACAAAAATATTGAGAAAGTAAATTTGGGGAAATTTCTATTTACCCTAAATCTTTTGCCAAAAATTCCCTCGGTACGATGTAAAATTTGGAAGGGGTCTAAATTTAATAGTTAGATACAAACACCAGGTTATAATAAAAAAAAACACAGACACACACACACACACACACACAATTTTGGAAATATAGTTGTTGGATGGAAAAATTAGTCGATGGTGCTTTTCTTGGTCGTTGCTTATGTATGCATGTGGTTGACTAACTAACAATTGTTTTGCCTTTGTGAAAGAAAATTTTATTTAATTATTTCTTTACTATGTTCCATTTTCCACCCATTATTTTTTTCCTTTTATTGAGGATTACAACAGGGTAGATGACGGGAGGAAGGGGTAGTGTAGAGAGAACACTTGGATTAAGAGTGAGGGAGAAAGAGGATGGGAGGCTAAAGTTAGACTGTCAAAACTAAACATTCTCTAAATTGTTGGCAAAAAGTGATTTTTTCATTTAATAAATATATTTTCAAATTTTTGGGGGCAACGAAGTTGTATTATGGATGTTTTACAAAGACACCTTTCAACTTAGGAACATCATGGATAAACTTCTTCTGAAAATTTGATATACATGGGGTAGAATGGTCATCTGAAAATTTGATAAGTTTAAAACCTTTGTTTTATGATGGTTATATGAATTATTTTCTGGATAAAGTATATTTTGTAGTGTATATGAATCGTTGGATGGGATTAAATATTCCCATGTATTTGTTTTTATAAGTAAGATCCCTCTTCCAATAAATACTCCCATGTTCACTTTCTTCTTCTGGTTTATGTGAGTGTGTTAATAATCTCGATGTTAGATGATCGAACTTTGTCCTTCTATTGATCTCTCTTACATCATAACGTTTCTTCTATATGTCCGATCCACCTTGATCCTCTTGGAATATCCGATTGTTGGACATCTCTCCAATAACAAAATATTTCTTATATTCCTTTACCTCTTGCTGATGGTTTATTGATCAGGTAGGTTTGATGCTGAGGGGGATGGGCTTTGACAGAACTACGTCTATATATTTGGCATCTGGAAGGATATACGACTCTGAGAGATATATGGCTCCTTTGTTGGAAATGTTTCCATTACTACAAACGAAAGAGATGCTGGCATCTGTTGAAGAACTAGCTCCGTTTCAGGTCTCGAAACTTCTCATTATTCGATGAAGTGGTCATTCAACGCTTCTCATTCTTTATGTCGATTTCATTTCCTCATTCTGCTATATGTTTTTATGTGATTACCTTTTTTTCTTCTTCACAGAACTACTCGTCTAGAATGGCTGCTTTGGACTACACTGTTTGTCTTCACAGCGAAGTATTTGTAACAACTCAGGGTGGAAACTTCCCTCAATTTCTTATTGGTCACAGAAGATATTTGTACGGTGGACACTCCAGGACAATTAGGCCTGACAAGCGGAAGTTGGCAATATTATTCGATAATCCAAATATTGGGTAATACATTTTTCCTTGCGATTCGATTCCAGACGTTTTTGCTACCACTGTGATGATGGTGCAGGTTATATTGTTATCAGGAAACATATTGCATCTGTGGTCAATCAATAGCATATGTTGTTTCATGTTTTAATTTTGATGTATATCCTGTTTTTCTTAGTTCACGTGTTTTTCTTGATTCGATATTCAATCTTGATTGGATTGATTTTCTGGAGCATAAATATTATGAAATTCTAAATATGATCCTGATTTCACCATCCAATTAATTTAATCTTTTTTTTTTCGTTTCCTCGTAGGTGGAAAAGCTTCAAGAGGCAAATGCTAAATATACGAGCACACAGTGATTTAAAAGGTATTGAACTCAAGAGACGGAACGACTCAATATATTCATACCCTTGCCCAGATTGCATGTGCAAAGTAGTGAACAAGTCGGAGGATTTAAAATCCTTATAATAGTGTGTGTGCACATTTGTCTGCTAAGTGCTAACCTCATATATCTTGATTGTGATTCTTTCATTTTTTACCCCACTCATATCGAGAGAGAGAGAGGGGCAGACATTATTTTAGAAAGAAAAAAAAAGAAAAAAAAACGAGGATTAGGGATATTTGTAGGAAGAATTTGATTTGTGTGCCGGGTATTTAAATGCATCTGTTTTTGTGCACGATGCACTACTAGAGAAAGGTATGGTATGGTACAGGTTTTGTTGAACAGCACAAATCGTTACCCGGGCAATTGTTGCTCATTGTGCATCGATTCTTCGTCGTCTTTTAGCGCGCTACTGTATCTGACAAGTTTGTAAATCGACTCGAGAGAAGTTTGGACATACTATATCTCTGTTTGTAATGTACATTAGTGGTTTCATCTGTACAAGGGACCATATAGAGCAGGATGAACACATTTATTACATTAATCGAAATTTCTAGATTTTGGATTTTTTTTTTAGTATTATTCAGTTTTTATTGGAAGGGAAGACAAGTGCTGTTGATTCTTGAATCCCAGAAAATGAATTTATTTGTACATTTTAGTCATTTGTTTTTGCATTTAATAAGTTTCAAAATTTCAAGCAAATTGATGATGAATAGAATAACTATTAGTTCGTGTCTTTGCTCCTTTTTTATATTTAATCAAAACACAAACTTCATTTGTTCATAATCAACTTATTTCATAGGGAGGAGAAATGTACATGACCAATACAAAAATACGATTAAATTAAGGTCATCCCCTTAGGTAAAGTTAAATTATGAAAAAATCCCTTATGTTTTGATAATTACAACTACTCATGAACTATGAATCTTCTTATACGTACACCTTTTAAGTGTCAAACTTAGTGGAATAATCTAGATTATGTGGACTATTGTGTAGTTTGTAACCGTTTGACCCCATTCGAGTTCCACATTTTTAAACGAGATCATCATAAAATGTGTCTCTTAGCTTGTAAATATCAGATTGTGGTGCATTAAAAACTGCATCACCAATTTTAGTTAAAATTGGGGCAACGTTCAAAAAACTATTTCACAATCAAAATCACAAAAAAACTGTATACTATAGTAAACAAATTTTAGTTAAAATTTGTGGAACGTTCAAAAACATATTTCACAATCAAAATCACAAAAAACGGTATACAATAAGTACACAAATTTTGGCTAAAACTAGCGGAACGTCCAAAAAACTGTATGCTATATATAGTAGACAATTTTTTGATAAAATTGGTGGATCGTCCAAAAAAAGGTTTTCACCAAAAAAAAAAAAAAACTGTATATTACAGTACACAAATTTTGGGTAAAATTGGTGGAACGTCCCAAAAACTTTTTCACGATCAAAATCACAAAAAACTGTATAATAGTACACACATTTTGGGTAAAATTGGTTGAACGTCCAAAAAACTATTTTACGATCAAAATCACTAAAAAATTTATGTTATAGTACACATATTTTGGATAAAATTGGTTGAACGCCCAAAAAACTTTTTTCACGATCAAAATCACCAACAACTGTATACTATAGTACATAGATTTTGGGTAAAATTGGTAGAACGTCCAAAAAACTTTTTCACGATCAAAATCACCAAAACTTTATACTATAGTACACAGAGTTTAGTTAAAATTGGTGCAACGTCCAAAAAACTATTTTACGATCAAAACCACCAAAAAATGTACATAGATTTTGGATAAAATTGGTGGAACGTCCAAAAAACTTTTTCGCGATCAAAATCACCAAAAACTGTACACTATAGTACATAGATTTTTGAGTAAAATTGGTGAAACGTCCAAAAACCTATTACACGATCAAAATCACCAAAAAATGTATACAATAATACATAGATTTTAGTTAAAATTAGCACAACGTCCAAAAAATTATTTCTTGATCAAAATCACAAGAAACTGTATACTATATATAGTACACAGATTTTAGATAAAATTGGTGGAACGTCCAAAAAGAAATTTCGCGATCAAAATCACCAAAGACTGTACACTATAGTACATAGATTTTTGAGTAAAATTGATGAAACGTCCAAACAACAATTTCACGATCAAAATCACCAAAAAAATGTATACAATAGTACATAGATTTTAGTTAAAATTAGTGCAACGTCCAAAAAACTATTTCTCGATCAAAATCACCAAAAACTGTATACTATAAGTATACAAATTTTGGATAAAATTGATGAAAAAATTTGACCGTGAAAAAGTTTTTTGGACGTTCCACCAATTTTATCCAAAATCTATGTACTATTATAGTATACAGTTTTTGGTGATTTTAATCGTGAAATAGTTTTTTGGACGTTTCACCAATTTTCCTCAAAAATATGTGTCCTGTAGTGTACAGTATTTGGTGATTTTGATCGTGAAAAAGTTTTTGGGACGTTCCACCAACTGTACCCAAAATTTGTGTACTATAGCATAAAGTTTTTTTGTGTTTTTTATCGTGAAAAAGTGTTTTGGACGTTCTACCAATTTTACCTCAAATTTGTGTAATATAGCATACAGTTTTTGATGATTTTGATCGTGAAATACTTTTTTGACGTTCCTCCAATTTAACCCAAAATTTGCGTACTATAGTGTACATTTTTTAGTGATTTTGATTCTGAAATAGTTTTTTGGACGTTCCTCCAATTTTATCATAAATCTGTGTGCTATAGTGTACAGTTTTTGGTGATTTTGATCGTGAAATGGTTTTTTGGATGTTTCCCCCAATTTTAACTAAAATTTGTATACTATAGTACACAGTTTTTGGTGATTTTGATCGTGAAATAGTTTTTTGGACGTTGCACCGGTTTAAACTAAAATCTGTGTACTATAGACTATAGTATACATATTTTGTTAATTTTGATCGCGAAAAAGTTTTTACACACACTACACCGAAAACACACACTAAAAAAAACACACACACTAAAAGAAATACACACACAACACCGAAAATACACACTTAGAAATATGTATACTATATGTATACTATAGACTATAGTATACATATTTTGTTAATTTTGATCGCGAAAAAGTTTTTACACACACTACACCGAAAACACACACTAAAAAAATACACACACACTAAAAGAAATACACACACTACACCGAAAACACACACTAAAAAAATACACACACACTAAAAGAAATACACACACAACACCGAAAATACACACTTAGAAAGCACACACACACTACACCAAAAACACAGAATCTAAAAGATTATGTTGAATTTGACACCATAGGAGTGAACATATAAGAAGATTAATAGTTGATGGGTGATTGTAATTACCCAAATATAAGAGCATTTTTCGTAATTTGACCTTACCTCATGGGGTCGTCTGTAATTTGCACAAGACTTTAATACTCGTATATCTTATCTCTTCAAGTCAACGGTGGTATATCATAATATAATATTTCAAAGTTGATGACCAAATAAATGTGATTATTAAATTAAATTTATGAATATATATCTTGAAGAAAACCCTCGAGAAATAAAGATAAAATTATTTGGGGAAGAAAGACAAATCGGATTAAACACAGAATTCTTCGAACTCAGAAGAAGTAAAATCTATCAGCGATTACACATACATACAGATACAGGATGGGGATTGTTGGAAATCTGAATTCGGAGCAGCTTCAGTTCTTCAATTCTGATGGGTATTTGGTGTTGGAATCTTTCGCCAGCTCCGATGAGGTCAAATCGCTCAGGCTGCAAATGGATCAATTACTCGATCAATTTGATTGTTCCACCAGCGCTTCCATTTTCTCCACCAAAAACCAAGTAATAATCTTATCTTCCCTGAACATCGGCTGAACCCCCTTTTATTAATTTTTTATTATTTTTTAATTTTTTTCTGAGTGTTATCTATTGAGGTAGTGATGGAGTTGACCTCGTTTTTGTTTTTGGTTCAGCAAACAACCACCGATGACTACTTTTTTGAAAGTGCTGAGAAGATTTCCTTCTTCTTTGAAGGTATTGATTTGTGATTGTATGTATATATATATATATATATATATATATATATATATATATATATATATATATATATATATATATATATATATATATATATATATATATATATATATATATTTATATATATATAAATATTTATATATATAAATATAAATATATATATATATATAGAT